TAGGACGTTGATCAATCCTGTCTGAGGGATTCGCCCACGCATTCGACTTCCTTTCGGAATCGTAGTGGCGTATATATTGCATGCCTATGTGGCCTATACAGTGACTGGCAGTGGACAGCCGATGTATAAGTCAGTGCTCTTATCTTCCCAGCCGAGCCTGGTATCAATTAGCCTACCCCGGAGGGATGGAAGACTTGATTAGCCTAGGCAGATACTGATCAGGGATCCAAACCCGCGACCATACATGCGTGAAATACGCCTTTTACCACTACACCAACTTCGCCCTGTACTTTCTATATCTTTTCAAAATGACTTCTTGTGAGATATAAAGAGCATGGCTCGAAATGCACATGTACGGGTTTGACTCTCTAAGCTGAGCGTTTGCCTACAGTACGCCATCGCTGAGGAATATCCGCGTCGCTCACTGCGGCCGTTCATTGAAGAAGTTCGTGAACACTGCTTCAACTTCAAATACTAAGTCTATCCCCGCTAATTCCAAATTCACGTTGCTGACATTGTCTTCGCTCCCGCAAATGCTTTTACTGTCTAGCTTACCTTTGAGTCATGTTATAATAGTGTGAACCAGAGATTCTCTGGAGATTTGCTAAATTTTGATTGATTACGGTTTTCGAACGATGGCTGTGCTCTTCTTGAAGAATGTCCCGTGGCTTAAGAGAACAAGGGATCAACACTTAGGAGACTCATTGATACCTTCAATCCGAAACACTTAGGTTACTACAATGCCTTTCTGAAAGCCTCGAAAATTCCAAGGATCTAAAACTACAAGGGGATGGTAAGGACTGCCCTCAAGTAGTCAACAGCGCACCGATTTCTCAAGTGAGAAAACAATTAAATTTTTGCCTCGGATTCAAATAAGTTACAGTGCCTAATGCCGAATTGGAAAAATGTTGAAAGGATTGCAGAGATCAGAACATAGAGGCGAAGATTGTGCTGGCACAAACACCCTACAGCTCTACAACTCCTTACCTCTCTCTCGTTAACGGAAAATACACAGACAAATTCTAGGTTCAGGTTCCAAACCGCGAACATGTTACGAGAAATACACAGACAGCTTCAGCCTATCACGATGCCTGGGTATTTCCTGGTAACATGCTCCCGATCTGGACCCTGAAGCCTACTTCACCCATATTGGAAGATTTCAAACGAGCGTCAGAAAGCGAGTCCGGAACGTATCGCCTTATCAGAAATAGCTATAGACTATGTGCCCTACTATGATGGAATTACTACAAACTTTTACGCAACGTCAGAAATATTAAATATAAATGTTCTTGTTCAACATACCATTCTCGATAGCGATTAAATGATGAAGGAAAAGAATTCTGGTTTGAGAAGATGGTACGAGAGCTTAACGAAACCATAAACCACCAGGTCGGAAACGCTATAGTTGTATTTCAGCTGTACATTGTTATTACAATTATTCACGCCACATGACAACTACCAAGCTTGGCGTATGAACACGCGATGATCCGATAACGAATACTATAATTTTCCGTGAAATTGCTCGCAACGCTCCCCTCTCTGAACGTAAGCGCCATGTCTTAGTTGCTCATGGCCTCTGCTAGAGTCATGCCCGTAGAATTTTATTCATACATAATTCACAATACTACATTCCTAACAGTGAAGGCCGTCAACTTTATTAATACCAAACAATTTATGAAAACACGAAAACTCAGCGTGATATGTGACCGCATGAAATCTAGCAAATTAAGAGGTCACGATAAATTAATGACAAATCGACCTAACACATCCAAAATACAGAAATGGCAAAATCAAAAATTTTGGAGCAAATACACCGAAACCGTTCCCTTCATAGAGCTGGTTTCCACCCCACCAGTTTGGTTTCCCAGAAGCACCCAAACTAGTTAAGTAAAAAGTGTTAACAACTGTATAGGGCATGAAGATATGCTATCAACGAATTAACAAAGATCACTGCAAGAGTGAAAACTTTAAATGATGAGAGATCTGCCTAATAATAAAATCACTCGTAGAATGGATTGAAGTGAAAAATCAAACCAGGGTAAAGGAGGCTCATGTCTAGGACAGACGTTTCTTCTCAGCAATTCTCTTGTACTTCTTTGTTATCTAAAAGTAATTATGAAGGAAAAGCATCATCAAACCTTCAATGAATGTTTAATATTGTTGCTGTACAGTATCCAGCAAAATTCTCGGAGCAAGAAGTGGGTTCAACATTTTGAAAAACCAATTGCTAAAAGGGAAGCGTCGTGGTTTTTGAAACTTTCTATCATTCCTAAGTCGCGTGTTCCCGAGTGATGGAGAATCCTGAGAAGATTCTCATGTGGAGTCATGCTGCGATGTGCAAAGTAATGACTGACATGACTACAGGTAGGTATTTGCTTTTCTTTGCAGGCCATTTGGCTTGAGTGCAGACCAATCTAGCTGCATATGCATTCTGAAGCCGTTATTAGTTGAAATGGATAAGGAGAAAATTGGAAATGCCGAGTAAGAAGACAACCCATACCAGCCCCAAGTCAACGAATTTTCCTAAGAACACCGGTACCCCCTTATCTTTTGAGAACTCTGATTTCCGCTATTGTACGACTTCATTCCAACGGAATATCCCTCATGGGGTTAGTTGATGGCCTACATAGAACCACTCCGTACACTGTACAGCCGAAGTGCACAGACAAATAGCATCGAAAGATTACTCGACGTTCTGATCAACGTCTTCAAGAAATCGCAGAAAGGTGTGCAACTGTCAACCGATTTGAGTCCGAGTGATCAGGAAAAATCATCCTACTGGGGCAATTGGTCAAAAAAAAAGGTTTCCATGCAATGGTGTCTAGGAGGTCATTAGGACACCCGTGTACTGTTGATGGGGTCCCTCTTACTGCTGTTGAATCGGTCAGAAACCTAGGTCAGTCATAACAACATGTTGGATTTTTGGAACACGTAGCCAAAAGGGGGGAAAATGGCTCATACTCGCAGATTTCAAATATTCAATGGGTTATCTAACAGATAAAGAAGCATTGCTCCGTGCTTACAAATCATACGTTCGTACGCTGGTAGATTCTAGTTCTACTGCTTTAAGTCCATCAAAAAGGAATGATATGCATGCATTGGATAAGGTTCAGAATAATTTCACTCGTAAACTGCTAATTCGACTCGATGGGTTCCAAAACAAAACATCAAAAGCAGCAACAAGTAACAGGTACCTGGGAATATCATCCCTTCAATTAGACGCAAAATTTTTGATCTTTGTTAAGTTCACTAGATGATACAGTGTTTATCTGGTCCCGGTTTATGCAACGTTTTCAAAATAATGCATTGGAGAGCAAGAGGAGGATCCAGTAAGATTTTCTAAGCCAAACTGAGCTACCTTGCGAGTCAAAAGTTTTGCGTTGAAAGCTGGGAGTCATTACTTGATCCTTCCAAAAAAGATACCGTTAAACATAACTTTGGCTCAACTCAGATATCGGGTCGCTAAAATGCTGATAAGATATGATGCATAGTACTAGCGTTTTCTTAGACCGACTGCTAAACTATGGTATTCTCCGTCTATTATAACTGTCAAATTTCAGGTGACTCAATGTTTTCCTTTGTATGGAAGTCAAATTTTTCGCACGTGTGCCTTTTCTATACGTGACAAACCTACTACCTAATTGTGTTATATGTTCAAAGGAATAACAGCGTGCATGACTTGAATTGTCATCAGTACAATAAAGGAGGGAGGTTAAAGTTTTTGGTGATAATCAATCGTGTTTGAAGGAGTGACTTTATCCTCCTAGACGAGTCTGGTACCAATTAGCCGACCTTAAAGATATGGAATGGTCTAAGAATATCGATCCGGGATTCGAATCCGCGACTATGCGTGTGTGATAGTGCGCCACTTGTCACTACACCACCTCCGCAGCATTTCACAGTATCTACTTAACACCCTGTGATAGCAAGGGGTTACCAAGTGCCAGGCCAAGCATCCAACCCGACGAGATAAAACTCCTCCATCAGTGGGATAAAAAAAGTTGTTGGAAAGCAGTTTTAGCATTAGGATTCAAACTGGTAAGAGGAACGAGGCTCCACAATGACATAAGGACGAAGAAGACGATTTTATAGACGTTGTCGAGTAACCAACAAATACGCTACTACGAAGGAACGAGGAGGTTTCATTTAAAAAATACCTGATCGATTACTATGGATCGTCGACCTTTGGCAAAATTTTGCATTCCCGGTATTTTACGCAGTTTACTTGGACTTCGTTTGACGTCTGATGAGACTCGCGCTGCAGCTCCTGAAAACATTACAGTCGTAAGATTAGAGTATTTTATCAATATCAAAACAGATTTTATTGAGGAGGTGATAGGCCTAAGTATGCCAACACAGCCCACTTGCTCACAAAAGGCAGTGATTTCATCTAAAAGTGATCAGCGGTGAAGTGAAAGAGTGATCAGCGGTTGCCCCGCTACCACACCGCTTACTGCACCCTTTGTTCGATCGGGGATATTAATTCCGTGAAAAGGACATCTCAAACTACACTCTCCCAGATTTACTACAGTATTAGGTTCACCATCAACATTCTGTGTTGATGGATTTCCTCCATCAACACAGAATGTTAGAAAGAAGTCTTAGATCCCGACAGATTGCGATTGTGCGACAGGGGTTGGTGGTTGGAACACAATACAAGAGACAAGCCTATTTGATTCGAGAAAGAAAGCAGGTCATCAGTCCATGATAATGAAATGTCCACTACTACTGCACAACAGTTGAGGCTCTGTACTGTGACACCCTTTCCGTTTATATTGTTCGAAAGAGTTACGGCCATCCCTCAGGTGTCTTCATTAGGTTTTTCTTCCCGAAAAAAGGAGAAGAATACAAGCCCTTGATCCCTTTCCAGGCTTGAGAACGACTCTTGAACAACAATATATGGCAGGGAAACGAAATATGCAAAAAAACTAGAACAGCCAATGCCTGACGGCTACAATGCGACAGAGGCCGAAAATTCCTATCAGTAAACTTGTCTTCGGGGATAGGCTAATTTTAACAGCGAAAAAAAAAACACTAAAAAGAGCATTTCGACTACTAGAAAAATGAATACATTGCGCACAACTTCTCAGAATGATAATATGAGGATGATTTTCAGAAACACTCAGATTCGTTACTTTATAATTAGCACTTTGATAATTTAGGAAAATAAATATCAAATAAGGTTGGGACTCCTATAATTGCTTTCGGAAATAAACAAAATTTTCGAATACAATTCTAAAACTGACGCTTTCTAGTCCCTGTTCCATTCACAGGTGTACTGGAGTCGAGATCCTTTCTGGTCGACGGACTCAGCTTTGCGTTCAATGGCGAACATGGTGCACGACGGACCAACAAACCTGGTACAATACCACCAGCGGAGAGCCTGTAATATTGACTTCATTTTATCTAATCAGAGAAAGCAATGTGAGAGCTGGATGTAAAATCTACAAACCTAGGAGATTTTCTTACAATTGTTGAAGACATACTGCTTGCACGAACATTATCGCGACCAGATGGACTTAGATCCGCTAGAAATGATTTCGTTTAATCAAGCAAAAAAAANAAAAAAAATTAGCATAAGCCTAATCTTTTTGTAGAGAAAGTGAGCAACATATTAAAAAAACAACTGAAACTGTCAGTCTTGGATCTCTTCCCGTGGATTTCACTTAATATCTGTCAATATCATACCACAAATATAGGTGATTAGACGTTATGTGACATTGTCTTCATAGCGGTGATAGCGAGTGATCAGTGCATAGCGCCGTTAGCGAATAGCAGGTTACGCCATTAAGTGAATATAGCTATTGGTTTTTGAAACCTTCTCTAGCATGCAATAGGATAGGACGCGAAAGAACAATCGAAGTCAGCTTCCAAGCAATTCGGTCGGAGAACCCAAAAATTAATGCTTCGCCTTGTTATGTTATAAAGAACGTACAGAAATTGTGTCCAACCCTTGCTGCTCAAAAGTCCTGACAATGTAAGAACAGTCTGAGCTGCGGATTCCACTACCCACCTGTTATTTGCCAAAGAAACAATCTGCTACACAGATATTTCATCCACTCAATTAGCTCAAGCAGGTAACTCCGCTTAGGAAGCGCGTGCTGTGGTGTTGATGAGAAGGAGCAGCTATCTGGTGTTGGTGACGCTTTCGATGTCCTAATCAATAAACTGGTCATTTCGAAGTTTACACTACCGCTGAACGAAATCTAGAATTCCCCATTACCTCGGAGATCTTGTTCCTCCTATAACTCTGATTTCGGATTTAGTTGCTGCTGAAACGGCACACTTAACGAGGATGACGAGACTAACGGAAGAAACGGGTCAACACCCTATTCATGCATGAGTTGGTCAAGAAATAGCAGGGAATTTATTCCAAAGAAACACATCTATTGACAGGGTAAAGATTCACTGAGCGTAAATGACGTGCAATCATGTGACCCGAAGCTCTCTTCCTGAAGAAACATAGCCTGGAAGTTACTCACTTTTCAACCTAACATGCCTCTTTGGAGATTGCACGGGTGAGCTGGAAGTATTGGCTTTGAACCGATCATTCGATGAAGAAGCTGAATAAGGAACGAATGGAAATGAGAATTTTTGGTGAACAATAACAAGAGCAGTAACGTAAACTATACCTGGGGTATTCTCTTCCTTCTCGACGTGAACGTCTTGCTCATTCTCTGAAACACAGAATCACTTGAAAAAAAATATTGACATTTTCATCACTAAACAACAAACCGGTTCTTTTGCGTTTCACAAGCAATGGCTTCTTCAGTTCAGCTGTCTCCTCCACATTTTTACGTTTACCTGTTGATCGAGATGGAACGAAACGCTTTAACGCATCATCAGCTATCTGAAAAGGAATGAATTACTTGAAGGTATGGCATGCATCACGCTGAATTCATCGTACATGAGAGCTGAAAAGTAGAAAAGAGTTGCGATGTCATCCTCGAGAAAAAAAAAAGAAGAAACATTTATATGTGAAAAAGACGACAAGTAAGGCCAGCTATCAATTCACTAATTAATGTAGTTCTGACATGAACACGAAACTTTTCATGCCGTGAAAAACCCACCTTGTACAGCTTGGTGAAGTCGAGGTAGCTTGAGTAACCCGTCTTCTGTACTACAGCGAAAATCTCTTTCAGTGGAACGACGCTTTCCGGGCTGTCCTGAGAGTACTACTGAATACTTCAGATTCTCTATCAAGCCCAACAAGAAGGAAAATGTATGTACGAAATTTCTTTATTCAGAGGCCCAACCTTCAAAAGCTTATCCAGACTCGAGGGTAACCCTTTCAGGAAAGCTTCCTTCATCTGATATACTTTATCAGCACTTGATTCATATGCCTAAATTTGAGGAATTAAATTCTGAATAAATAGCACGAAAATTATTTGGACATTCTTCTTACCTCCCACGGTAAAGAACCGGTCAACCAGTACACCATATTGTATGCGAGTATTTCTAGGTCACCCCGATACGACGGATGGCAACCTCTGTGCGCATCACATGAGGTAAAAATGGCGGTACCATTGTGAGCTTGAATAAGGGAAGAATTGCAAATAAGTAATACATCATCCTAAATTCATCACGTAATCAATATACGCTTGCGATATGAAAAGTATATTTCACACGCTACAGCTGTTATTCGCATTCAAACTGAACTCGTTGTTTGTCCGCAAAAGGCAGCGGAACATAAATGAATTCAACATGGCAACGAGCAGATCGGGCAAAAGTTGCAAAAATCGTCAGGTAAGCATAAGCTCCATACACACTTGAGCTGTGCCAGGATTTTTACAAACCCCAGTAACTTTTTGAAGGCTCTTCAGAATTTCTAAATAGTTTAACTTTGTTGGTATCGGGTACTGCATAGTTCTCAAAAACGCGCTAGCATGCCGGGCCATACTATCTTGTATTGTAGATAGGCAGGCTCACGACTGTTGAAAATATCATAGAAGCCGTAGGCGATCTTCTTCAGTAAAGAAGGGATGATCCATTCCCGTACAGAACTTCGGAAACCCAGCGACATCAAACAAAATTTTTTATCAAAGGTGTTGTGATCCACCTATACACCAAGTAACTCCCAAATCTATCGCGAATGAAACGGCTTTCGAAGCTGCGGGCCACCAGAGACAATGTTGGCCGACATGGCAAACGCAACCTGTTATTTTCATTCAGTTTCGTGAGTCCTGATGGTCCTTCCAGAAGTTTCCTACCCTTAATTTGAATGGAAACCCTTTCCTCATCCCTTCACATTTCACACTCTTCTACAAGAAGTTTGTTTGCCAAAAGAATGGGCATTACCTCTCTTTTTGTCGGGCTTGTCTTCGTTGCTACTTGACATGCGAGCTAGGCCATAGTCAGCAAGCACTATAAAAAGCAGTTTTACCAAAAACAAAATTTAATCCAATAAGGATTAGATGAATATACTCTGCACTCGAATGCTTGAACTTCTTTCGCGAATATAAACTATTCGCGACATACTCACCACTTGTTGAGAAATCGTCCGCTTTCTCTAGCAGTATATTTGCAGCTTTTATGTCAGCATGAGTGTAGTTCTGAAAGCAAGGATTCTGAAAATGAAAATGGGCGTAACATACATTGGACTAGGTTTCTCCACAAAAAAAGCGCGGAATAACTTCAGAAACCACAGAAAAAACGCACAAAATTGGAAAACGCCACGAACGCCAATACAACAAGGCAAGATTTATTTTTGTTGTTCATTTTTGTTTATCATATGTTTTTAAGCAGAATGGAGAAGCATCGCGCAATCAGTTTACTTGTTACCTTCGAATGGATGTACTCGAGGCTCTCCATCATACAGCGCGCAATCATCCACACCTCACTTTGTGTGAATGTTTTTCTTTTTTCCCGGATCGCCTCTAATGACGTTGCGTACTTCGGCAGAACGAGAAATCGAAGCTTCTCATTGCCGTGCTGATGAATGCCACCAGAGATCATTGTTGGTACTCCCAAACGCTTCAACTCTAAACTGTAGATTTTAACTTTATGAACAACATTTGCTCAATCCTATTTATGTATCATATACACACTTCTTTTGGGAGGTATTCTGTAGCCGATTAAACTCGAAGCGGATTTGCATGGTGCGATTCCTACTTAAACACGAGGGTAAGTTTCGACTGAAGGCCAGTGTTTCTAAGCGAAAGATACAGGTAGACTCAAAAGGTGGAACCTACTCGTTCCTGGCCACTAGCACTTCCTGTGGAGAACTTTTGCTCAATTCTGCAAGTGCCACCGAGAACAACACAAAGGATACCATAGTCACATAACATGTTAACGGTAGCGCTCAGCAGGTAGAGAGTTTTCAGATTGCCAAAGTACGTTTCCCTTCGGAAAATCTTTTCTGATACGCTAGCATAGAGTGAATTTCATGCAGTCACCAACACACTTCGAACACTGCAAGCAAAGAAGCGAAAATGAGAGGTTGAAATGCCGAAGTGCAGTCAAAGGGGTGGGGGAGGGGGAATGTAGCGTCGAAGATCGATAGCACAACTCAACGTTCCGTTTTACTAATCATA